TTTGCTCGGCACAGGCACATGCTCTACGGGTGAAGGATCCTCAGCAAACTCATTTCCATCCTCTTCCCCTTCCTCATCCTCAGAAGAGGACCGCAAATCTTCACACAGTTTCTCCAAACTTTATCTGGTTTGGGGTTCCTTCTTTTTTACCTTGGTTTGTGATCCCCTCTATCTTTCTATCTGGTTTGTGGCTCCCTCCCCTTCTTACGGATAATTTTTCCCTTATTTTCTCCCCAATTCATTCCCCCACTGAGTTCCTCTATTTCGTTACTATAGTATAGTTCTTTATACACAGTCATATGTCCATTACTGTGGGCATGGACAGTGGCAGAGAGTCCATCGTCCTATTGTCATATAGTAAACAGTTTCATTGGAAGTCCATCTTTGTCTAAAAGTAGAGATGCATACTGCATTGTATCCTCACATCTGGATATGATAGTCTCCATTACACAGTTACTATACATCCCCTTAAATGAAAAACCACAATACAAAATCAACAACAGGAAGAAAAATAGAAATTTACAATGCCATGAAGTTAAATTACTTGCTGCTATATATGATAGTCTCCATTATACAGTTACTATACATCCCTTTAAATGAAAAGCCACAAAACCAAATCAACAACAGGAAGAAAATAAAGAAATTAACAACACCATGAAATTAAATAACATGCTACTGAATGACTAATGCGTTGCTGAAGAAATGAAAAAGAAAATCAAGAACCAGTCTTACACATTTGAGGGGAATAAACCAGCAGGAGCTTATTCTCTTGTTTTTAAAGAAAAGTCTATGAAGATTAAAAAGATTTAGTCATTATTTCTTTAAATGTTCTTCCTTTTTCATTCTTTCCTCTTCTTATGTGACCTTAATTATATTTGAGTTACCTTTCCTCATGGCGCCCTAAAGGTGCTTAGACTGTTTTCTTCAATCTTACTGAATTCTTTTCCTCAGATTCAGTAATGTCTATTTTCCCCATAGTCAAATTTTTGACTCTTGTTTCCTGTAAGGAGAAAAAATTTTCTTTCCAATGTGGGACTTCATATAGGCTTATGGCAAGGGGGCTAGGAAGGGCAAAAGGGGAGGGAAAGTAAAACCAAAACCAAGGACTCATCTTAGGTTCTTCATCTTAAGAAGCCCAGTTTCTTGGATTACTATCTGAAAAGATGAGGTTTTTTTATCTGATTTTTGGTTGGATGTGCTGTTCTTCACAGGGGCACCCGCAGTTCCAAGCAATGGGCTAAAAGGGGCCAGGGGAGCCCCAGCAGATTCTTCACAATTTGGTTGCACTCCACAGTCCATCTGTTATCAAGGAGCTTGCTTTGTAGCGTGCTGTCTGGGGGGTTGTTTTAAGGAGTAGAAATGAAAGGCTTCTTTCCATTAGGTGATTTTTAATGCAAATTCTATATTCCTCACTGACAAGGACCATGGTTGTGAAGGGAAGGTAGTTGTTTTCTGGAGACTTGAGGTTGGAAATATGTTGGAGATTATAGCTAAGTGCCTGCTACTTTTAAGGCATTATAAATTATTTTAGCTCATAGTATAATTTATCTGCTACTTTATTGCACAGTTTTATCCATAATCATTTGTTGGTTTTCCAAGGTTTATTTGACTAAGAGAGAAAGAGGGAGAGAGATGAACATACAGAAAGAGTTTGGATGCAGTCATTTACTCCCCAAATAGCTGTCATGGTTGGTTAGCCAGGAGCCAGGAACACCATCTCTGTGTGTTATGTAGGAAGTAGGAACAGAAGTACTTGAGCCATCATCTGTTGCTTTCACAATCTCATTAGCAGGAAGCATAATGGGCAGTGGAGTGAGTAGAATTGGAACTGCCATTTAGATGTATAATGCAGGAACTGTAAGTGGTTTAACCCACTGTGCCACAGTACTTAACCTTATCTATATACGTAATTGTAAGAATAACCCTACCAGGTAAATGCTGTTTTCTTTATTGTATTGATAAATATATCTAGGTACTTGGAGGTTAGATCATTTGCTTGAGATTGCGTAGATAATATATGATGAAACTTTGGTTAAACCTTACAGCATTTGGGCAGGTGTTGGGATTTCCGAAAGCTGATCCGCGCCTCAGGCAGTGGTGAAGTAGCTGACCTCGTGTTACTTCTACAAAATAGACCCAGAGTCGGAATCACGAGTTCCATCAAAATCTATTATGCTTGAGTGTCAGGCTCTAGGGAGGCGAAACAGAGACAGGCAAAAGTTACCTGAATTTCGGATGCTTACAAGATTAAGTATGAATTAGCAGATGTTTCCGTCAGTTTCAATGTGCTAAAAGAAATGAGGATGATGGTCTCTACTGCAACAGCTCTGCCACCTCAGATGGCCAAATGAAATGTCCACAGGGCGGAGCAGAATAAGCAGATTCTCAGATTCCTCTGGCTGGAATGAGTGAATCCTTATGAGACAACAGACATCTACTGGAATGCTTTCTATTTATCCATTGCATTGGATATTTAATTATACAAGCATAATTATCCATTTAAGTGATAACTTAGACAAAAAAAAAACCTTAAGCATTTTAGAACATGTACTTTGTAAGATTCTCAACGTTTTGAAAAATGTCATACATGAACAAAAGTTGAAAATAAGTGTAATGAACTCTCTAAATATGTCCTTTATGTAATTTCTTGCTTTATCTTCCACTGTTTTGTTTCCAGTAAAGTACCTGGAAGCGTATTTTTGACATCATTTTAGCCATTAAAAACTAAAAATGGTTATCTAAAACGGATGGTAGCTTTTAAAAACTAATGTGATCACAAAATCAGTCTAACTATAGTGTAATCACAGCCTGAAAATTGAGGAATAATTTCTTTCAAATGACCTAACATCTGTTTTGTCTTTAGTTTTATCAAATCATTTCAGATGTGTCTGTTAAAAACTCTATATTGGTTCTAACCCTGATTCTGGTTTTTTAAATGCTTATAACTTTATTTCTTCAAAATAATTTGTCTGTTATTAAATTCTTCATTGACTGGTATATAACACAGTAGCATCATTTTCTCCAAGAAGATTTTGTGTTTTCTTTTTCATTTCTTCATTGACACATTGGTTGCTTAGTATCATGTCACTTAGCTCCATGGGGCTGTGAATCTTTTGTTTTATCTTTATTCCTGTTGTTGATTATGTTCCATGGTTTCTTATTTAAGGGACTGTATAGAACTGCATATAGAGACTAGCATATCCAGTTGTGAAGACACAATGCACTGTACATCTCTACTTCACAGTCAGAGATGGACTCCAGTTGAAATTGTTGAATGTATCTTAGCAGTAGGATGCTGGACTTTCTGCCATTGTCTGTACCAGCGATGTCAGGACAACTTAAATAAGAGAATGACGGACTGCTCATGAAGTACTATAGCACTGTAATAACATGGTTGAAATAAGTTGAGGGGAGGGAATGTGGGGAGAGGACAGAGGAAATCCAAGAGCCTTTGAAATTGCACTATAAAAGTAAAAATAGAAGGGAAACATTTTAGGAATAGCTTATTATATAATAATTTCAATATTGCATATATGTATGTGCTTGTTTTGCATGTGTGATGTACAGCATAATATTTAGGTACTAAATAGTTTTAGATTTGCATAAAATTAGAAATATGAAGAGTTTTTATAACTTTTCATCCAGTTTTACCTAATTGTTTTGATTTATTCATTAATTATTTATATGAATTTTATTTTGTTACATTACTGTGTTTGGCAAAACTAGCATCAATATATACTGTTTGGGTTTTTTTTCAGATTTATTTTTATTGTTTTCTTTAAAATTTATTTATTTTTATTGGAAGGTCAAATCTTTACAAAGAGGAGAGACAGAGAGAAAGATCTTTCATCTGCTGGTTCACTCCCTGAATGGCTGCAATGGCCAGAGCTGAGCTGAGCTGATCTGAAGCCAGGAGCCAGAAGCCAGGAGCCAGGAGCTTCTTCTGTGGCTTCCGTGACTGTGCAGGGTCCCACGTCCTTGGGCTGTCCTTTACTGCTTTTCCAGGCCATAGGCAGGGAGCTGGATGGGAAGCGGGACCGCCGGGTCACGAAATGGCACCTATATGGGATCCCAGAATGTGCAAGATGAGACCGTTAGCCACTAGGCTACTGCACTAGGCCTAAGGGATTTATTTATTTATTTTTTTATTGCAAAGGCAGATTTACAGAGATAAAGAGAGACAAAAAAAGATATTCCATCCTGTGGTTTACTCCCCAAGTGTCCATGTGGCTGAAGCTAAGCTGATACAAAGCTAGGAGCTAGGAGCTTCTTGCAGGTCTGCCATGTGAGTGCAGAGTTGCAAGGTCATCCTCTGTTGCTTCCCTAAGTCACAAGCAGGAAGTGGAGCAGCCGGGATGTGAACCAGTACTCATGTGGAATGCTAGTGCTTGTAGGTAGAGGATTAGCCAGTTGAGCCACTGTACCAGCCCATTTGCCTTTCATTAGTTTTGCCGTTAGCACCCGCTTCTGATCTGGTGTTCATTTTCTGATTGAGATATTTTCTCATTTATTTCTTGTTTTTCATAGCCCTGATTTGGTTTTTTTTTTTTTTTTTTGAGGAGTCCTGCTGAGAAAATCTTGTAGACTATTTTACAGCTGATATATGTGTTTTTTGTGTTTTTCCCCTTTTCAGGCTTAGATTAGGCTTTGAGTTTCTCTGAAAAAGATGTAGTATCTTTTTATGTTTCCAAAGCTATCCTATCATGTCTTTCTGATTTCTGTTTCTTTCCTATCCTTTCCCCTAAAGGTAAGTATTTTTTAAACTCAGTTTTTGACTTCAAGTCTTCTTTGTGTTTGCATGCAAAAGGTGACGTCAGCTCACGTTCTCAGCGTCGTCCCGCGCTTCCTCCTCAACATGGTCTCCAGCAGTGACTTCCAGGAGTGGTTGCTCATGTTCACAGTGCTTTTCTGTTCTGGAAAAAGTCGTTTTTTTTTTTTTCCCTAAATATTATGCTTTGAAGATGCTTAGTACATGTATGGTTCTTTTTTTTCATTCACAGATATTTTCCAATTTGTCCCTGGACGAGCGTTGCCTTTCCGCATCGTTGGTTTGCAAGTACTGGCGTGACCTTTGCTTAGATTTCCAGTTCTGGAAGCAGCTGGATCTTAGTAGTCGGCAGCAGGTGAGGACTTTAGTCATAATTAACACTCAATTTGACCTAATGAAAGTGTCTTTATTTCCCTAAACAAAACAAAACCAAACCCTGTGTTTGTTTCTTCAGATGGTTCAAAGGACTATAATGTACAGTTTTGTGCTTACGTAATGTTTTGTGAGTGTGTGCAGATCACGTTTAAAGACAGATTCTCATGGTGACCAGATTGTTTTTAGTGTAGGTTAGTAGTTGGATTGTTCTCTCATGTGCTTGTTTTTAGTCCTTTTGTTTGTTTAAGATTTATTTATTTTTATTGGAAAGTCAAAGTTTTACAGAGAGGAGAGACAGAGAGGGAGATTTTCCCTCCGCTGGTTCTGTCCCCGAGTGTCCACAATGGCCGGAGCTGAGCTGATCCGAAGCCAGGAGCCAGGAGCTTCTTCCAGGTCTCCCACACAGGTGCAGGGTCCTGAGGCTTTGGGCCATTCTCTACTGCTTTCCCCGGCCACAAGCAGGGAGCTGGATGGGAAGCAGAACAACCGAGTATGAACTAGTGCCCATATGGGATCTCAACACATGGAAGGCAAGGACTTTAGCCACTAGGCTGCTGTGCTGGGCCCTTTCCCTATTTTAAAAAAAATTTTTTATAAAGTAATTACTTTTCCTTTTTTTTTGTGTGGGGTCATATCATGGATGGTGGATAACAGTGTAATAGTGGAAAGTCAAGCAAACATATAGTGCTGATTTCATGCTGTGGACTGCTGTGATCCACCCAGCAGCCCTCTGTATATACTTTATTACTCTGTTTTGTTGATTAAGAAATAGGAATAATATGGACTGATTACTTTTTTCTAAGTTTCTTTTTGTTAGACTTTCTAATCCTTTCCATTTTTCAGCTGTCCAAGTATATTTGTGTTGTGATAATTCAAATAGAAAGAGCTTGTAATTTTTAACTGAAGCTTTTTGAGTGTTTTGTAGTCATCCTTTAAAACCTGATGGCCAGTATTTGCCATTAGTAGAATCTTAGAATATCTAATAAGAATAGGATTTTATTTAGATACTAAACCTAAATCCTCCTGTGACATATTAACAGTGGTAAATGTCTAACAGTTGATTTAAGAAAAACCCCTCATTTTAATATGTGTGAATTTCTGTGGTGCAAGTGATGTGCCTTACCCTATCTCAAGCTCTGCCCGTGACGCACTGAGTGCAGATTTGGAAAGAAGTGCGCACTGTTCCCCGTGGGTCGGGGAAAGCCCAGCCTGAACCACCACTGACCCTGTGTGTATTTTTCTGTAGAAAAAGCATGTTTTTAAGCAAACCAGGCACACTCCAGAGCATTCGTGTGTGCGGAGCTCTGTCTGCCTCTCTGCCTTCATGGTCAGAAGTTGAAATGATTACGGAATTAGTTATTTGCATGTTTAAGGTAATGAGATGTGTCTGGAGAAGAGTAAGAAGCTGGTCGTGACCAGCGGAGTGGAGAGATCTGTGTGAAGTAATCCAGTGTGTCTGTGCTGCTGGTGGGTGTTGGAACGTTTCTTGTAACTGCAGATAAGCTTTCCCATTCCACTTGTTATAACATGTGAAGATGGAGAAAAAATAAAATTATAGATAAGTCAGAATTTTACCTTTACAGGGAATGTCTGTGTTTGTGCTGTTTCTAACAAGCATGAGCAAAGATGTTTTCATCTTTGGCTCTTCCTGGTGTTGCATGACATTCTAATTCTTTCCCTTTTCTATTCTAAATTTTATGGACATTTCCCCTTTCCATTATTTTTTTCAATTTCTTTGTTATTTTTACTGAAAATTCAGATATATACAGAGAGGAAGAGAGTCAGAGACAAAGATCCTCCATCCTCTGATTCAGTCTCCAAGTGACAACAACGGCCAGTGATGAGCTGATCCAAACCCAGAAGCCAGGAGCCTCTTCCCGGTCTCCCACTTGGGCGCCGGGTCCCAAGGCCTTGGGCTGTCCTCTACTCTTTCCCAGGCCACAAGCAGGGAGCTGGATGGGAAGTGGGGCTGCTGGGATACAATCCAGTGCCCATATGGGATCCCAGCGCATGCAAGGCGAGGACTGTAGCCACTAGGCTATCATGTTGGGCTATCTCCATTATTTTTTAACCAAAGGATTTGAGTATCATTAACCATGTTTTCTTGATTTCAAGGTGGTAATTGGCCAGGGAAAATATAATGGGGTTCATTCTTTGTTGTTGTTATCGTTAACTCAAATGGCCATGTGAGATATTTGCCACAGGAATTTTATGGTTATTTAAATTTTTCAGTTCTCTGAGTGTTGTTTCTTGACATGGACATTTCTGTGCGGTATTTGGTGTTTTTTGGCCTGCAAAATTATGCATTTAAACTGTTAATTATATGCAAGATAATGTTCTGATAAAATTAGAGACATAATTTATAAATGTGGCCTCATGTAGTACAAAATATAAGACATACACCAGCATGATTGATATACATAACTTGCTAGGTTAAAAATAGAGAACAGAACACTTAAAATGTGGATCCAGTTCTGTTTGTAGTGACTTTTTTGTGAGTTTGAGCATTTATTTAAGTTTGTTTTCCCAGTAAGGATAGATTTTTTTTTTTTAAGATTTAAAAATTTTTATTGGAAAGGCAGATATACAAAGAGGAGGGGAGACAGAGAGGAAGATCTTCTGTCCGATGGTTCACTCCCCAAGTGGCCTCAATGGCTGGAGCTGAGCCAGTCCAAAGCCAGGAGCCAGGAGCTTCTTCAGGGTCTCCCACACGAGTGCAGAGTCCCATGGCTTTGGGCCATCCTCAGCTGCTTTCCCAGACCGCAGGCGGGGAGCTGGATGGGAAACTGGGCTACCTGGATTAGAACCGGCACCCATATGGGATCCTGGTGCATGCGAGGCAAGGGCTTTAGCCACTAGGCTATCGTGCCTGGGCCAAGGATAGATTTTTGTGCTTTTAATGAAAACTAGGACATGGATTCTTCTCAAGTATTTCGGTGTCTCCCCTAACAGCAAATAATCCTAACTCAAGTTGAGTGTCCAACATTTGAATTGAATTCTGATACTAACTTCCAGAATTAGTACAGACTCTGCAAGGGCTCAATCCAAGATTGGCTTCACTTCAAATTCCAGTGGCAAGCCCTAGGAGCCCCCTATACTGCTGACCAAGCATCTGTAAATTTAGGAATTACTCAAGTCCTTGCCTCAGTTTTGATAATTAACTACCACTGCTCATAAAACTCAGGAAGTAGTTATATTTACTGTCTTACTTATAAAGAAAACATTAGGTCCAGACACATGGTAAAGATATATAGGACAAGCTTTCGGAGTACTTGCTGTGCCAGCACTTTCATGCGTTTACCAGCCAGGAAACTCTTCAAGAATCTGGTTTAAGAAGTTTTATAACCAGTCTTCAGCTTTCCACTCCTTTCCCTGGAGTTTGGAGGTGGTCTCAAAGTCACTACCCTATAGTCTTTCTGGTCACCAGAGGCCTTCGAGGGTGCCTCTCTCTCTACCTTGCCTCATTAGTATAAACCCATTGTGCTCAAAGGGCTTGTTACGAACAATGGAAAACATACTGTCACTCAGGAAATTCTAAGAATTTTAGGAGTGCTGTGCTAGGGAACTTGGGACAAATACATACATACATTCATATATGTATATATGTATATACACACACGTGATTGTTGCTATGCTTTAATAATAAAGAAGTTTTGATTGTGTTTTTCACAGTATAATGTGTTATATTAGCACAAATTTAATGGAAGAATAGGTAAATATCTACTTTTAGCAAAAGTTTAAATTTATTGCTTGTTTTTCTTTCATAGGTCACTGATGAATTATTGGAAAAAATTGCGTCAAGAAGTCAGAATATAATCGAAATCAACATTTCTGATTGTCGCAGTATGTCTGACACTGGAGTATGTGTTTTAGCATTTAAGTGTCCTGGACTTCTTAGGTATACAGCCTACAGGTGTAAACAACTTTCTGACACCTCCATTATTGCGGTCGCCTCACACTGTCCTTTGCTTCAGAAGGTACATGTAGGTAATCAGGACAAGCTTACTGACGAAGGACTCAAACAGGTAAATTTTCACATCTGTACACTGGTTCTACTCAAATTAACTTAAAATGTTTTCTTGCAGCAACGCTTTGAAAGCTTATGTGTGAAATAATGCTCAGAGATTAAGTGAGTCATTTTTTTTATGTTTAAGTGAGTATTTGTGTAAGTGAACTGGAGCGTCATATTTGTTCACTAAATGAACTTTGTGCTCTGAGTTTAAACTTCTGAAACTAGTGATTTTATTAATTTATATTGTTGTTAAGAAATTTTATTTAGTTTTGTTTTTATTTGACAGGATGCATTTTGGGCCACCATAATGTTTAAAAAGTAACTTTCAGTTTCACTTTTATGTTACTAGATGACACATTCACATTCTTTAAAAAGTCTGTTTGGGTCTTAAGATGTTCAGACATCCTGTGATGATTAAAATGCTCACATTTCCTGTCCACAGCACCTGTATGGCAAGTGCTGCCTCCTGACAACAGCTTCCTATAAATGCAGCCCCAGGAGGTGACAGGTGTGGCTGAAGTAGTTGGTCTTGTCCCCTGAACTGGGTTGAGTTCTGGACCTTTTAAAACGTTTGGGCAGGGAGTCCACAGCTGGTTCTGAGAGCTCTCTTTTTCCTTCATCACGTGCTCGCTCTTCCTCTTAAAGCAAAAGCAAGCCCAAATGCATCAGTGCAAGCTCAAATTTAAGGGTATGAAATTAAGAAAAAGTGAAAGTTGCCTTGATTTGGCATGATACTTGGCTTAAAAATGTTTCCTTTAGAAGTTGCATTTAAGGTTCCCTGGTGTAGAGTGGATTATTCATTCAAGGAAGGAAGATACTTTAATTTAAATATTAGGTATAAATTAATTGAAAGTTCCGTATTAGAATTTTGAGAGGACTATGTCCTGAATAGAGAGTACTGACTTGTACCAATTTAGTATAAATTTTACACATGTTACCAGTTCATAAGGGAGAGCAAATTTTATCTGTAAAGGCAAAAAGTGCAGTAACAATTGTTTTAATATTTTTTCTGATTTATTTCTGTAATGTACAGCATTATTAACAAAACATTGCATATTCTCAGATCTGCCAAATTAAGAGGAAATTAATTTATAGGTATAGCATAATTTAAATTATTTAGATAGAAATTTACCAGAAATTTATACTTAACGACGCTTTAAAAAAGAAATGTTCGATATAGACTTTGATTTTTTTTCTGAGTAAGTTTATTTTTCATTTTTTAAAAAATGAGTTTGAGAAGCTGAGAACAGAGTAAGAGATCATGCAGATCATCATCCCATCTGCTGGCTCACCCCTCAGATGCCCACCCCTGCTGCCACGCTGAAAGGCTGGAATTCAGGGTCTCTCACATGCAGCAGGTACCCTACCTGGTGCCTGTGTGCTTTACATGGAAGCTGGCATTGGGAGTGAGGCCAGGACTTCAACCTAGGCCTAACGACATGAGATGCCAGCATTGCTAACTCGTTTACAACCTGCCAGGGCAAATGCCTGTCTGTCACAAGGATACATTTTTGAAGTTTTATTTTTGATGATGTTTACGTGGCTGATTAGGGTGGGAAGGGCCAAGGGTTAGGGGAAAGTGGGTGAGACCATTGTTTCCACATTTTCTTTCTCTTCCTTCCTGTATGTGGGGGAAGGTGGAAGACAAGGGGAGAAGCCACACCCAGCCTCCCAACCATCTCTGTACCTGAGGATGGGGAACGGTTACCCGATGTCATCCCAGGGTCACCGATGTGGAGCATGCTTCAGGGGTTCTGCTCAAGTGGTTTTGATATTCTGTAGCTGTGAAATGCTGTCAGTCTAGCCAATCCAAGCATGGGGAAATCCTTCGAAGGTCCGTTGGCTGACATAGTCCACAACTTGGAGTCTCCGTTCGCTCAGATATTTGCTGCCAGTACTTGGCTGGGGTAGTTGATCAACTTGTTCCTCCCTCCTTCCTCTGCTATGGTACCAGATGTCCTCTGCAGGCTCCAACGGACTGTGTGCATCTGGGTATGCCATCCACTGCTCTGTCCTACCCACTGTGGACCCATTGAACAGACTAGAGATCTAAGAAATTAATCCATGCACCTATAAATTACTACTCTCTGGCAAATGAGCTAACTCAGTCCTACTAGAAAGATAGCCTCTTCAACAATGTATTGGGAAAATTGGAGTTGTGCATGCAGAGCAATGGAACAAGACCTCTTACCTTACATGCGATAGAAGAAACAGCTCAGTGGATCTGGGATCTAAACCTATATCTGATAATATCAATTTCCCAGAGGAAAATATCAGGGAAACACTACACAGTCTTCTTGGAGAAGAACCCAGAAGTACAGACTTTAATAAAGATAAAAATTGACAAATAGAATTATATCAAGTTAGGAAGCTCTGCACAACAAAGGAAACACTAAATAAAGTGAAGAGGCGACCAACAGAAGAGGAGAAAATATTTCCAAATTATGTAACTAATAAAGGATTGATGTCCACACTCTGTAAAGAGCTTACGAAACTCAGCAGCAACACCACCAAAATTCAAGTTAAGAAATGGGCAAAGAACACGAACGTGTAATTTTCAAAGGATGAAATACAAATGGCCAATCGACACTTGAAAGGACAGTCAGGGTCACTGTTCATCAGAGAAACGCAAATAAAGCTGCAGTGAGCTTTCACCCCCAGTTAAAGTGGATATTGTCACAAAATTGATAAATAATAAGTGCTGCATGTATGTGAGGAAAGATATCCTAAAACACTGTTTAAACAAGTATGACCATTATAGAAGAAAAGGTGGAGATTCCTCAGTAAAATGAAGATAATTCTGCCATATGACCCAGGCATTCCACTGCTAGGAACTTACCCAAAGCAAATGAAACCAGCATATGAAAGCTATATATACCCATATGATTATAGTAGATCCACACACTGCAGCGAGGAATGGAATTAACCCAGGTGTCTTTATCAGCTGATGATTGGATAAAGTTTGTGATATAAATAACAGTATAGAATATACTCAGCAATATAAAAGAATGAAATCCCGTCTTTTTCAACAAAGTGGATGTAAGTGGAGACCATTATGCTTAGTAAAATAGACCAGCCCCCAAATGACAAAAATCATGTTTTTCCTGAATTTTTAGTAACTGATAAACAGAATCCATTAATATTTCTATGTGTTGATCAAATTTGCCATCTTCAAGTAGATTTGCCTGTGATGGGCTGATGTCTGTGCCTGGCTCTCTTGGATCTAATTGCTGCTGTGTTGTTTGTCCAAGTGTGTTATCTTCATCGTATCCCTACAATTGTCATCATCCTGCTGTAGGGTTAGATGTTTTCATGACTTTTTCTTTTTTGGATGTGTTCTCATACTTTGTAAAGTACAGATTGCAGCCATGTTCTGTTAAAACATATATAGGAGGTAAAATTTTGATAATTTTCACGTGAGAGTATCCTTAATTCTACTCTCACAATTTGGGATCTCAATCCTGAGTACAGAATTCTAGTTCAGAAACACTTTCCCTTCAAAATTTGGTGGTATCACTTTTTTTTTTTTTGCTTTCTTTTAGCATTTATAAGATGTTTGATGAATTTTTATCTTAGTTCTTTCTATGGATTTTTTTTTTTCTGGAAATCTGCAAAAATCTTAGTCATGCTTCTTCAATCTATCATTGCCCTGGTTCTGTTTTTGTCACTGTTAGTAGGCATCTGGATAACTCTTCCAGTCTGAATTTGTGTGCGCTTTCATTCTGGAGAATTTAATCAAGTTATATTTTTTAGTTTCTCCATTTTCATTTTATAAACTTTTCAGATAATTCCTGCCTTTCAAAAATGCCTTTTTTGGGGAGGAGGAGCTTGGTTCAGACACACCATCTTTTGCTTCCTCGGAGAACTCCAGGCTGTTGACATGTGGCCCAGGGACAAGGTCATGGCATGCAGTGGTTGGGGTGGGAAGGGTGGTGTTCTGAGGGCTCAGTGACTTAAGCAGGTGTCCAGGTCTGTTACACACACCATCGGTCTCACCCTCATTGAAAGAGTCCTGATGCATACTCCTTTGCTTTGTTCCCCCTGGATTAGCTTTCAGATTCTGCTTTCTCAGATCTAAGTCAAATGCCATTCTATGTTTATTCTAGAAATATATGTTTCTTGTAATAAATTAAGTAAGGGCTTGTTTTTCTCATGAGTGTGATGAATACTGATGCTGAAAAGATGCTAGTTTATGTATTTGTAACAATAGAGATATTGTATGAAATTATCTTCTATTCATCTCATTTCTAAAGTCACAGATACAGCTCAGCCATTAGTGGTGTTTTGCCCATATGAATTGGAGGAAATATTTGATTTAGAGGATAGCGTGAAAATGAATATGTGGCATTTTTTCGTATTCAGTTTTCTGGAGTCCGGGAATTCTATCCATGGACCCTGTGTAGAACTCTTGAGTTGATTGACACATGGTGCTATCTGAGGCTTCATTATGGTTTCTTGCATTTGTTCATTTTAAAAGGGTGCTTTATAAAGCAGAATCCTGAATAGCCTTTTCATTTGAATGTTTAGTAAATACTTGTTAAGTATCAAGTATGTGATGTGTCAGTCACAGGACACCAGAAATGCATTATTTAACCATACAGGTGAAGCTCTGCCTTTCTGGTTTTTACATTTGTGGTGAAATTGGTTATAGTGTAGGCTAAATTAAAATACTACAATTTGTATGTATATTACTACCCTGGAAGAAGAAATGAGCTCATATTTTTTTTTTGATTCTAGCATAACTTGAGACAAAAATTGAAAGTATTATTTTTATTATGAAGGTAATTGTTTTAGAAATAATAAAGGTTAATAGGAAAAATTAGGGAAAAAATCTCACCCATTGGCTAATCAGAAATAACTATTATTATCACTGTGATATGGTTTAAGCCTGTTGTCGTCTGTGTGCATGTGGATTTAAATATGCATTATTTATTTATAAGATTGAATTCTACTTTAAATAATTACAGCTATCTTTTATTTTTACTTGTCAGATTTTTAACTACTTTTAATGGCTTCTTATATTCAGTTTTATGGATATACCAAATGTATGTCTTTATTATTATTTTTATAAATAGCTCATACAAACTAAAAAATTAGGAGTGTTTTCTTTGCCACAGCCATGAGTATTGCTGTTATTATTATTATTATTATTATTATTATGAATTAGATTTTTTTATTGGGAAGGCAGATACACAGAGAGGAAAGACAGAGAGAAAGATCTTATGCCCATGGTTCACTCCCCAAGGAGCCACAATGGGCAGAGCTGAGCTGATCTGCCACCATGAGCCAGGAGCTTTTTCTGGGTCTCCCACATGGGTGCAAGGTCCCAAGGCTTTGGGCCGTCCTCGACTGCTTTCCCAGGCCACAAGCCGGAAGCTGGATGGGAAGTGGAGCAGCTGGGACACAAACTGGTGCCCACATGGAATCCTAGCAGTTGCAAGGTGATGACTTTAGCCACTAGGCTACCTGGCCAGGCCCCATGCATTTTATTTTTGTTTTATCTTTTCATTCCCTGTTTGCTTCACAGGGCTCTCACTAGTCAATCTTTTGATGAATTCTACCTAGGCTTACATAAGCCTTCTAAAATTCCTGCGTAATTCCTTATGACACACCTTGTCAGCTTGAAGCAGCCAGAGGCAAATGGCACTTGCCAACAACGTAAAGCAAAAGGCTACAGTGTTAGGTTGTGCAGAGCACAAGCGACTCCATGATGACCACCCTGCTAAAGACAAGGCAGCAGATGCTCCCATCTTTGGAATGTGCTGCTGGGGTCTGACTTTGTCTCAGTGCTCCAAAGTCGAACACTCCCATGATGAGTATTACACAACACACACACACACACACACACACACACACACACACACACACACACACGCTGAGGAGGGCTGCCTTCCCCCATCTCCTGTGCCTTAGATATGTGAAACCCAGGACTGTCTACTCTAGCTGACAGTTTTCCTCAGGTGGTCAACTCCCATTTAGAAGCGGTCCCGGCCTGTCTCCTGTGAGAGAATGGCCCGTCAGAACTCTCTCCTCTTGAGTAATGAAACCCTTTGCTTGGATTAAGAGCCTCTCTCAAGTGAATCTGGACGCTTCAGTGTCTTAACGGTTTTGAACGATTTTAAGCATAGGTGTGATTTGAAGAGTTGGGTGGCTTGATGAGCATATCCTGTCACGTAGGCGTAGCATGAAGGCAAAGTAGCAGGTGAAAAAGCTTAATGGTAATTGTGTTTATTTATGGATGATTTAATGCTGGTATGATTATTTTCAAAAAGTTATGCAAAAATAATCCCCCTAAAATATGTAGCCTTTGTTACTTTTTGAGCATTCAGAGAAATCTTTGTTTTTTTTTTGAACAGCTGGGCTCAAAATGCAGAGAACTGAAAGATATTCACTTCGGACAATGTTACAAGATCTCAGATGAAGGCATGATTGTCATAGCGAAGGGCTGTCTGAAATTACAAAGAATATACATGCAGGAGAACAAATTAGTAAGTACTTGTTATCGTCCTTGTGTTGCTTGTTTTGTCCTTAAGCTTTGTTGAGAAATTGTCTTCTGCCAATGATTTTATAATTTGATAATATAACCCAATAGGTAAATGTGTGTATGTGTTAATTCCTCAGTAGCATGTGCTAGAGTTTAGTCTTTAAAATTCTCAGAATGAAATAACTCAGGGAGATTGGGATTAAAGTATTTGTTTACCAAACCCAGGTCTGTGGTTGTAGCTTGTTTTGATTCCGCTAGGGAATAATACTGCAAGGTGGTGAAGGGTTTTCGATGCCCAAAACACTTGTGACATGGAACATTTTTCTTAATATTGTGAAAAATGGAATTCAATAAATTGGGGCAGATAATCTTGGTAATTAAATTGATTTATATTCTAAATACAAAAAAGCTCATGTGTCACAGACATATTTAATAAATTTAAAGTCATTTTATTGAGATATAGTTCACAAATCATAAAAATAACACTTTAAAAACGCACAGTTCATGGCTTTTAGCATGTTCGAAGTGTTGTGTGGTCATCCCAAGTATCTAGTTCTAGTGCATTTTGGTTATTCCAAATTAAATTCTGTGCCCAGTAGTTCCTTTATTCTAGCTCCTGCCAACTGCTAAGCCATTTTCTGTCTCTGTTGGTTTGCCTATTCTAGATATTTCATTTCAGTGGAGTTATATAATGTGTAGTGTTTTATGTCTGGCTTCTTTCATCTATGACATTTTAAGGGTTCAGCAATGTAGCATGTGTAAGGGTTTCATTCCATTTTATGGCTGAATAATATTCCAAAGTCATGTTGTAGACGAGGTTGCCACTAGGGGGGCACAAGTCAGCATTCCTCAGTATTGAAAAATTGTGCACTTCAACATATTGGTCCTACACATATGCCATATTTGTGTAGAAGACTCACTTTTTAAATTACCTCTGAAAAATGCCCATCATCTTACTGCCTGTAAAGTTTATGAAATCTGATAAATATATGATAACTGTATCTCATATGAACCTAAGTTTGTAAAGTTCTTTTAAGCATCAGCATTTCTACTGATATAATATTATTTTAAAAACCATTGTAAGAACTGATATTTAGCCAAGCAGTGAGGATGGCAGTTAACATCCTACATAGGAGTACCTGGGGTTGACTCATAGCTCTGGCTCCTGACTCCCACTTCCTGCTAGCACAGACACTGGGAAGCAGTGATCATGGCTCCAGTCCACCCGCTAAGGAGAAGTGCTTTGAGCTCCTGACTCCCAGGTCCCGTTCTGGCCATGTAACCAGTGGAGAGTAAACCACTAGGTGAAGTCTGTTTTTCTGAATCCTCAGACTTTAAAAAACATTTTATTTAGAAAAAAAAAATCAAAACAGTATGTATCCAAATAATTTTTATGATTACACATTTTCTCCTGAAATGGTTTAGTAAAAATGTTTCACATTCTTCTTAACATTTAATATCAATGTAATAATCACTTTTGAAGCTTTGTGATTTTGAGATCTTCTGGGTCGTGGAAGCTGAATCTTTAAAAAGAATTATTTTTAAAGATTTGTTTTGCTTTTATTTGAAAGACAGGAGGAGGAGGAGAGACATAGAGAAAGATTCCCTATCTACTGGTTTCACTTCCCAAATGCCTGCAACAGTGGCAACTAAGCCAATGAGAAGTCAGGAGCCAAGGGCGTCCTCTGGGTCTCCTGCATGCATGCAGGGACTCAAGGACCTGGGCTGTCCTCCGCTGCTTGCCCAGGCCATAAGCAGGGAGCTGCACGGCAAATGCAGCAGCCATATGGGGTGCTGGTGCTGCAGCTTCGCCTATGCCCAGGAACTGTCCGAGGCAGAATTTTTGAATCTTTATCTCTACTTACTCTCCTTGTTACACTGGAAAAGTTACTTAAGCTGTTTAAATTTCATTTGTAACCAGACAACTGTTAGATGAGTTTTTTTTTACAGGTTGTAATTTTGAGGATTAAATGACATAATGTCCTCAAAATTTCCAATACAAACAGACTCTCAGAAGACCCTGAAAATCTAGTAATTTTTATGATATTCAACTATGTTTATTATTTGACTATTGGATTCTAACTTTCCAAACAAGATGAAAGATATTTGTTGATTTTGACTAATATTCAATTTCTTATTTAGTAGACAGAAGGTACATTTTTATTGTCACTTGAAAAAAATAAATTGATACTTATGTTTTGAAGTTTCTTTTTATATTCAAATGAATTTTTCTTTAATATCATAGTACATTGAAAGATACTCTGTGCTTAATTCCTAAGGGAATTCGTTCTGTTTTAAGATGTATATTAACCAGTTTGACATTCTTGAAGTGATCTTTCTGAATCTTTAAGGAAGGTCATATCAATAAAATATTTTTAGTTTAAAGTTCTTAGGGAAATTTGGAATAATTTGTATTGTTTATGGTATAATTGATAAACTAACTTCCCAAAGGAACTTTGTTTTTTACTTTTAAAATTAATAAAGTGACAAACATTTAGATGAATTGTAGGACTACAATTTTAAGTAGCTTGATTTTTTTTTAATTTTGAAAAATTGTTATTTAGCAGAAAATATTTTAAATTTGTCACTAACATAATTATAGAGAATGCTCTGGAACAATACTTGGCAGAATTTGACTTCTGCCTTGATAAATAATGATTGTAAAACAAATTATTTAATTCTTTCTTTTAGTATGAAGGTTTTTTTTTAATTGAAAGGCATATTTTTTAGCAAGGAGGAGAGACAGAGGGAGGTCCTCCCCCAATGGCTGCAGTGGCCGGAGCTGAGCTGAAACTGGGAGACAGAAGCTTCTTCCCGCTGTCCTACATGAGTGCAGGGTCCTACTTGGACCACCCACTGTTTTCCCAGGCCATAAGCAGTGAGGTGGATCAGAGGTGGAGCAGCTGGGACATAAGCTGGCGTCTGTGTGGGATACTGGGGCTGGCAGACGATTATCCCGCTTCACTAGTGAGCTGGCCCATTAATTCTTCTAATTTCGTAAAAAGTACTTCATTGGTTATTATAGTCACACTTAATTGAACTATATATAATATAAACTGAATAATGCTTATAATCAATAATTATACAAATCATTGTAGGGGATAGGTTTATGTCATAATGAACGAAGATCCGCTTTGGACTGCTGTATCCCACATTGCAGTGTGTGGGTTCAAAATCCAGTTATGCTTCGAGTCTAGCTTCGTACTGGTGCGTTCCCTGGGAGGGAGTTGGTGGTGCCTTGGGTAGTTGATTGTTTCCAGCCACGAGGAGACCTGCAGGATGAGTCCCGACTCTTCTCAGCACCCTGACGTGGCCCTAAGTTGTGTCGGCGTTTGGGCAGTGAGCCTCTGTGTAGGAGTCATTTCTCTTCCTGTGTGTTTTTGCTTTTCAAATAATATCATACAAATAAATAATTTATATTATAGTGTTTGGTTTTGTTTGTTTTTTAGTATAAACCTTGCTAATTTGAGATATCAGACTGATTTGTATTGCTTGTCATTTTTGGCCGAGTACACATCTTTTCATACTATACCTTGGCCTTTAGATGGCAGTATTGTCTTTGTATATTTCAGTGTCGCAGCTTTGTGCCTGGATATAACTATAAGGATATAATGCTTGTACATGATTTTGGTAATGTTATGGTTCATTTGAAATATTTATTCTTTGGGTCAATTTAATGAGAACATTTCTTTTTTAAAGTGGCTTGAAATATGCTTGCATTTAGAAGGCAACAAGATGAATTTACTCTTTTATGAGAAAAAATGTTTGAGCATTCATATTTGTGGTAGATGTAAGTGGCTTAAACTTTATAAGAAGGATTCCTGCGTTATCACAGGAGGAGGTTTCATGTGGAAAGATCGTGAGGGCAATGGTTTGACATTTTAAGGCTCAAATAAGTTGTAGTGAAGGAAATGGTTGAGATTGACAGGTACAGTCTTCCCAAAGAAAGTTTCTGTTAATTTTAAGTGAAACAAGTGCCATGGACATACATGGGTGTATTTTCATTTGCTATAAAACCCCTGTGTAGGCTCTAGAAATAGATTTGAGAAATATAACCATAGTGCAAGTAGAGCAGAGTGCACACATCTGTCTTCTTATGGTAGCTTTTAATCATTTTTGCGTAGTACTTGCCACAAAGCTATTTCTTAGGTCATATTTAGTTTTGGAGTTATCATCCTCCATTTTTTCTTGCTGTTAAGAGAATAGCTGAGACCAGATATTTGTCTGGCTTACAATTCTGGAGACCAGCAGGTCCAAGAGCATGGTGTCAGAACATCTGGCTGTGTGCTGCCAAAACCCACAATGGAAGAGGAAGGGGGACGGGGCTAGGGGCAGAGACAGAGAGACTGGAACAGACTTTGAGAGCAAACCCATTCTCGGGATAACCGGCCCAGTTCTGTGATAATGACAGTTTGTCCCTGAACGCCCTGTGTATTTGACTCCACTCCTCAACACGGTTCCAAGGAGGAGTCAGCTTTAACAGACTGGCTTCAGAGAGCACAGTCAGATCGTTGTGATCAGGTAGCTAGTGATGAGATTCAGTGAGTGAATTCTGTCTGCTGCTTCCCTCTCCCTGTGGCAGCTTCTGCTTTTTTGCTTTTTGGACACATGAGCTCTTTAGATGACCTTTTATTCAGTTCTAATGAGATCAGGTAGATTTTCTGTAATTTGTTATTTGTTATTTAAAAATTTCTGTACTAAGTCCTCAGGTTAGTATATTTGATAGTGATTTCTGTCATGTTTGCTCTTAGTCTTTTTTTCAAATTCTTCTCTGATGGGTTGGACCAGAACTAGTATAGATGTTTGAGTTATCAGGAAAATAGACCCATACAATGAATACATTTTAGAAAGTGCAAGGGAAATGATAAAGGTTTCTTTGTTAAAACTTGAATTCCTGGGCCCGGCGCGGTGGCGCAGTGGTTAAGGTCCTCGCCTTGCACGCCCGGGATCCCATATGGGCGCTGGTTCTAATCCCGGCAGCCCCGCTTCCCTTCCAGCTCCCTG